GTGTGTGTGTGTGTGTGTGTGTGTGTGTGTGTGTGTGTGTGTGTGTGGCGGGCCATGCATTTTACACATGTAGAAACACGGCTAGAAACACGGCTAGAAACACGAGTAGCACCACGGGTAGAAACACAGCTAGAAACACAGCTAGAAACACATGTAGAAACACATGTAGAAACACATCTAGAAACACGGCTAGAAACACGGGTAGAACCACATGTAGAACCACATGTAGAAACACATGTAGAAACACAGGTAGAAACACAGGTAGAAACACGGGTAGAACCACAGGTAGAACCAAAGGTAGAAACACAATTAGAATCACAGGTAGAAATACATGTAAAAACACAGGTAGAAACACAGGTAGAACCTCTCTGAATGTGACTGTCCCTTTCTGTTTGTGTTCTACAGGAAGTGCAGGTACCAGTGTCTTGTTCAATGAGAACGGAGATGCTCCCGGCCGTTATGACATATTCCAATTCCAGATGACCAATCACAGCCATCCTGGTTACCATGTCATCGGCCAGTGGACCAATAACCTGAAACTCAATGTATTGGATCAAACACTAAAAAAACTAAAGCAGCATCTGTTAGTTTTTAGGTCTTACTCTCTCTCTGTCTACCTGTCCGTCTCTGTGCCTGTCCGTCTCTGTGCCTGTCTGTCTCTGTGCCTGTCTGTCTCTGTACAGTTGGACGAGATGCAGTGGTCAGGAGGAGATAAATCAGTTCCAGACTCCATCTGTAGTTTTCCCTGTAAACCAGGAGAGAGGAAGAAGATGGTGAAAGGAGTTCTATGCTGCTGGCACTGTGAGGTAAAACCACCACCACTCATTCACATGACATTTATTCTAAAGTACTTATGAGTATATTTATATGATCTTAGAATAGTGATGACTTATAAACAGATGTTCCTGTTCACTCATTAATCAAAAGCACTGTAGTTTCAGAGGATCAGGTTCAAATCTTAGTTTCATTGTATACCTTTATTATCAGCTAACAGTAGGCAGAGGACAGAAAACCAGGGGACGAATGTCTGAGTCTGGACATGAACCAGAGACCTTGTGGTTTAAACCTTAGACCACCAGGACTCCTTTAGTTTATCTGTGATTCCTTCTGTTCATACTGACTGTGATCTATCATAACACACTACAGTGTAGCTGATGGAGGACCACATCCACAGTCTGACGTCTGCACCTCTGACCTGTCTCTCTCTCTGACCTGTCTCTGTGTCTTTGGCCTCTCTCTCTCTCTCTCTCTCTCTCTCTCTATATCTATATATCTGTATCTATATATATATATATATCTCTATATATATATATCTATCTCTATATATCTATCTATCTATCTATCTATCTATCTATCTATATAGATATATAGAACCACGGGTATATATATGTAATAAGATAAATGTCTCTGATCTGTCTGCAGCTCTGTGATGGGTATCAGTACCAGTTGGATGAGTTTACCTGTGAGACCTGCCCATCAAACATGCGCCCCGCCCCAAACAGAACCACCTGTCATCCGACTCCAATCATCAAACTGGAGTGGAACTCCCCCTGGGCCCTAGTGCCCACCTCTCTTGCCCTGCTCGGTATCCTAGCAACGAGTGCTGTGGTCATCACCTTCATCCGCTTCAATGACACACCAATTGTCAGGGCATCAGGGAGGGAGCTCAGCTACGTACTACTGACAGGTACCACTGACAGGTACCACCGACAGGTACCAACGGCAAGTACTACTGACAGGTACCACCGACAGGTACCAACGACAGGTACCAACGAGAGGTACCAACGACAGGTACTACTGACAGGTACCGACGACAGGTACCGACGACAGGTACTACCGACAGGTACCAACGACAGGTGGTAATGTAACTTATATAAATAGTTTATATATGTAAATTATCAAAGTACATATCCACTTTATGGACTTCTGACTATCACTCTAGATCAGGGATTCCCAAAGTGTGGTGCGCGAGCTGCCTCTAGGGGTGCGCGAGAGGAAAAATGTAATGGTGGTCTAATGGTGTAATAATTATTAAATATAATTTTAAAAAATTTAAGTGGGATTTTTCACAAAAGAAAAAGATGAATTATAAAAATTCCCTTTGTAAGATTTAAATTTAAAATTAAAAACTTACAATTTAATAAATAAATGCACTTCAGCTCCTGCTGCCAGTCTTTTACGTACACACTAGCTAGCCTAGCTTGTGCAGCTAACGTCAGCTAACAGCTAACTTCATTCAGCAACATTCATGCAAATATGCTAAACTGGCTGAAATCGGGGAAACTGTCAGGTGGGACATCTGAAGCTATCAGTCATAAAAGAGGAGAGGGACAGAGAGAGAGAGAGAGAGAGAGAGAGAGTGAGGAATCGGAGGCGAGAGGAACGGAGAGGTGCGTTGGGGAGAGACCGGGAGAATAAATTGAGCAGGAGTCAGAGAAATGTGAGACGGAGGAGACCAAAAAGGAGTAAGGGATAGCACAGACAAATCGGGAGCACATAGGCCCATTGCGGAGTCAAGGTGAAAAAAGAGGGAATATGATGAAAATGATCTGGGTCTGGGCTTCACTTGGATTGGCAATGCAGATTGCCCAAAGCCACAGTGCGTGGTGTGCAGTGAGGTTCTGGCTAACAGCTGTCTGAAGCCCTCTTATTTACGTCGCCACCTGAACACCAAGCATGCCAGTGCAAGTCAAAAGCCCCTTACATTTTTATATCGAAATTGGAGGAGTTACAGCCCAAAACAACTGCAGTCTCATTCATGTGTTGGGTCTACAAAAAACGCACTACGGGCTTCATATCTGGTCACAGAATAGCAAGAAAGGGGCTACCTCACACAATTTTTTTTAAGGTGTGGGGGATTGGGGGTGCGTGAACCCGGTCGTGATGTAGAAGGGGGTGCGTGGCCTAAAAGGTTTGGGAACCGCTGCTCTAGATCTTAAGAGAAAGTCCTCCTGATGATCCCAATCACCTAAACATAGCTGGTTTAATGACCTATTCCTTTCTTCACCTGCAAAATTAGAATGAGCTGCAAGGCTTAAGAGATACTTAACCTGGAACCTTCTCTTCACATGTTTAAAACTACTTTGAACAATATTGTTGCTTATAAGAAGTGCCATTGTTTGCCTTGATTCTTTTAGCCTCTTATTCCTGTATGTTTTGTCTCTGTTGTTGTGTTTAATGGTTTTTTTAATGTGTTAATGGAACCTTTCTGGTTAAATAAGGATAAACAATGCTGAAGAGATGGAAGATGGTGTCTGTTTTTGATAATGGTATCATTAGGGCCTGGTACATAATGCAGGTACAGAGAGCCTGTCCACAAAGAAGAAGCCTTCCGGAGACTAAGAGTCGTCAGAGGATTCTCAGTTGTCTAATCAGTATTTACTGTTTGTGGGTCAGTTGTGTGCTGGACTGTGGGCCGCTGAACTGCTCTGTTAAACACAGTGTAATGTCACAGTGAGCTTTGTGCTACAACAGGAATCCAAACGGGATATGATTTACAATGAGTAGGACACATTCACACAGCATGGAAGTGTCAGTTCCAGCACAAAATAGTCCCTGAGGACAGGTTGATGTCTGGATTATGTATACAAAGTCATGGAAACTAAGAGCGGAGCAAGGCACAGGAGGATAATTGTGGATCTAGTGCTCGGCTCACTAGAACCTCCTGGTTACTGATACGGCCTTCTTTTTACTTGGCAGGATGAGACAAAATGCTGTCGCTCCACTGGGGGAGGAACCAGGGAGAGCCTGGTCTGGCCCAGTTGCATTGGCTTAGGGTTGTTGTGGAGACCAAAGAGGTGTGGCCATGCTTGAAGTGCAGAGGAGAGGAGAGGTGAGGTGATAGTCAGGGGCTGGTTAAGAACCCCGTCTCTCCTCCGATCCTGGAGGCATGTGTGGTGGTGAAGGTGATCTAGGCTTCAATATCAGTGGGCAGCTACCAGGCTGCAAGCTCGTTTTTGATGGAATTAGTATTCAGCCTCCCGCCTCCTTCCTTCACACATTGGTTTTTTATTATTTCTTTTCATTTTTAATGAACAAGTGCATCACTCCCTGTGTGACACATCAGATTTCTGAAGGGTCTTAATGCTTCATTATGTCCTGTAGGAGTTGACTACAGCAGAGTTAATATAGGACCAACCAGAATTACTCCATGATCAAAATGTCCTAATGATACTCAGCATTGAGGGTGACCTTACCTGTCTCCCTCTCTGCAGGTATCTTCCTCATCTACCTGATCACCTTCCTGATGATCGCTGAGCCAGGTGTGGTGGCTTGTGCATTCCGCCGCCTCCTGCTGGGCCTCGGCATGGCCATCACCTACTCTGCCATGTTGACCAAAACCAACCGCATCTACCGCATCTTCGAACAGGGCAAGAGGTCGGTGACCCCACCCAAATTCATCAGCCCCACCTCCCAGCTCATCATCACCTTCATCCTCATCTCTGTCCAGGTGAGAACACGGGTATCAAACCGCTGCCTGTTTCTGTTTCAGCAGCTTGTGACATGATTCATGTTTACCTTTGTGTGTCTTTGTGTTTCAGGTCCTCGGGGTGTTCGTGTGGTTTGGCGTCGTCCCTCCTCACACCATCATCGACTACGAGGAGCTCCGTCCACCGAACCCTGATCTGGCCCGAGGCATCCTGAAATGTGACATGTCTGACCTGTCAATCATCTGTTGCCTCAGCTACAGTATCGTACTCATGGTAACATATGTGTCCAGTTTTGATCCTTCTTTGATCTGTGATTGATGATCAGGTGTTGAAGAGCAGCTCTCACACTGATTTCAGACCAAGCAGCTCATCTGTTTTCATGCTTTTGATTTGTGTGAACCTCTCTTCTAATTTCACATTGGTCTTTGACAGTTAACATATATATTATATGTATATATTTGTTGCTAGGTAACCTGTGTCATTCTTGTTGCTAGGTAACGTGTACGGTGTACGCTGTGAAGAGTCGTGGTGTTCCAGAGACGTTTAACGAGGCAAAGCCGATTGGATTCACCATGTACACCACCTGCATCATCTGGCTTGCCTTTGTACCGATCTTCTTTGGTACCGCAAAGTCGACGGAGAAGGTAAGACCCAAACCAGACCAGGACCAGGTAAAACCAGGATCCATGACCAGTTCAAGGGGCCACGGCAAGTAACAGGCTCCAAAAATGTGTCAAATTAATGGATTTATTTACTAAAACCTAAGTTAATTTGCAAAAACAGATAAAATGTGGATGTCAGGAAGGTCAGCGGTGTCAGTAAGTGGATGTGTGGAAGATACGGTTTCGGTGGGAAAAGTGATAAATGAGGCGAACAAAGCTCATGAAGAGAGAATCTCCAAGAAGACCAAGGTGACAGCTTATAGTGACTGGAGCATTGAGCCCAGGTGTGCCAACATTATTTTTACAGTACTCTGTAACTTGCAGGAAAGTTCTTGTTAATAATGACACTCATGTCTGTTGTTAGAGTCAGGGGTTGGACAGTCAGCATCCTGTAGCTGGTTGAGCCTGAAGTTCTGATTGATTTTGAGCTTCCTTTAGTCACTTATGAGTCACGCCATCACTAAGCCTGCTGCCTACATCTCCGAGCTACTAATTCCTTGTGACGACACGACCGGCACCCACCACAACACAGAGTCCACTCTGGAAATGTGTACATATGTATATATTAGTGCTGGGCAACGATTACAATTCTCTGGGTTCTCTGGGTCCTGTAGGTGGTTCTTGTGTCAATGAAGAGGTCCTCTGGGTCCTGTTGGTGGTTATTTTGCTATTGAAGAGGTCCT